AGTTGACATACATGCAGGTATAAGGACAAACTGACAGAGAGCTAAATAGATAGATAAGATAAACACCAATGAATTTATTAAAAGTATTGATTTTTATAAGTACATTACAAGAGAAATGAATGTTGTTGATTACTTCTACATCCTGTTTATAGGACATTGGGATTTCACTACTTCTGTAACTGACTGTTAGATGGCATTCCAAACAGTATATAAGAAACGGTCACAAAAGTATCTCTTTTCTTTACCCACACAACCACACAAAGCCTTAGAGATAATAGGTAAATTTTACTTTTACTATAAAAATGTCCTTATTGTATGTATGCATGTGTGAAGTTCATATTAAAGATTATAAGAGAATGATATTTGAGAACAAATCATCAGAAAACAATTCTTCTTAAATATTATTCCCCTTTAACCTTTTTAATCATCCAATATTGTAGAGTGAATGGCCATGGTTAAATGTAAAATAAATGATAGAACTGTCCAACAAACAGTTTGCAATAAACAATAGCAACAAAAAGGAAAGAACAGAACAGGGCAAAAAATATTATAAAGCAAGCAAACAATATATGCAACGCAAATTAACAGTAATAAGGCAAAAAGTTCACAAACTAAGAATTGGGTTTGACACATAAGAGCAAGTTTGGACAAGTGAATGTATCATTCTGACTTCAAGACAAGACAGACCGGGATTGAGTCAGATGAAAACAAGAACCAGCCTATTTTATTGGCTAAGAAGAAATCCCAGCATGCATTTGTGTGCTTCTGCTTATAAATTGGGGAGGAGGAAAGTGTTTTGCAGTCATTCCCGGGCAGATTAAAACCAACAAATATAAAATTGTCATTATTTGTTATGTGATACTATAGATTCCCATATAGAAGAGGAAGTTTGATTTTCTTCACATTTGGTCTGGTGCTCCTGCTATATAAAGAGTGTTCCAATAAATTGGATCAATTTTAAATGTGAATTAAGTTTAAGTGTCTAATGATTTTTTTTGTTTTCTTTCAGATTTGGCAGACATGTGGGCAATATTATTTTTCACACATAATTGCCATGACTTAAATAACATTATCCAATAAAGAAATAAAGAAATTTTCACAATTAACACTGATTTATTTACTGCTGACTTTGATCCATCTTAATGAAACATTCTTATATATAATCGATTTAGTAGAAATAATCGATTTTTTTCATGCTTCTACGGCAGTTTTCATGTAGTTTGCAGCCATTTTCTACTGGCCAGAGTGAGAGCCTATAGTTGGCTGCCACGAATAGGCAGGAAGATTCTATTGGCCAGCGTGAGAGCCAACAGCTGACTGACACGAATGTTAACCAGCATGCTAGCATGCAAAAAAATCGATAGCTGCATTCGTCACAAGTGGGAAAAATTTAAATCTGCATGGCACTTTACTCCAAATTGGTCAATTCGCTTCTTAAACCCAACCTTGATTCTTATTCCACAGAACTGGGTTGGGTGTGAAAAAGTATTTGTTGTTAACATTCTTTTTTCATTTGGTTTTTCCAGTTACGAGTCCTTTTTTAAAGCTGATCATTTTGTGTTCATTTTGTTTAGTTCTTTTTTCATAACAGATTTAATGTTTAGTATAGAGCTTAGAAAAAATTTGCAATGTAAGATAGGCAAGAAGTAAAGCATGTAGCAACATCAGCACAGCAAAGGGCACTCCTTTAAAGGCAAGGAAGGGCAAAAATATTTTAAGTCAAGTGATAGCGATTGCTGTATGAGTCGTACGATTTTTTAATCAAGCCCGGGCAACGCCAGGCCATGCTGCTAGTTTATACTATTTATTTATTATGTCATTTATTGGAAGATAAAGCCAGATATTGAGGATTTCCAGTTGCTGGTCTTTATTAACAGTCACAGTTGGGATCAAAGAAATGAATTCTGTCGTTGGTAGGGGACAGACTGTGCCTTGGGTAGTTCAGATATTATCTGTTCATTTGTCACTTTACCCCAAATACTTTCTTTTACTTATTTGTTCTTTTGTTCCTCTTTGGCTAAGTGGGAGTTGCTTAGAAGAACTGACTACAAAGATTGCATATGCTGGCCATAAAACAGAAACTTTAAGATTGAGATAAAAATCATACATTTGTTTTCTATGTAGGTGTCCAAATTATAATATCATAAGTATATTGGCTTAAATTTAAATTAAGTTGGGTATAATAATTGGGTAAGTTATGTTAAATGTTTAAGAGAAAGTACTGCCAGGATATGTTACAAAAGTTAAACAATTGATTGGTCATCTCAAATGGCTGGCAACTCAAACAAGACTAGATCTGAGCTATGATATCAGTGAACTAAGGTCTATATTGAAGCAGAAAGGAAATGACTGCATTAAACAAATCAATTAAGCTATTGAGAAAACTAAGAGAGAAAGATTTCAGACACTCATTACTGTTATGAGTAACCCTGAAAAAGTAAATATTTTATATTTGAATATTTCCTAGAGAGAAAGGTTTTTTTTTATACTAAAGTTAACCCAATAAAAGGCTCAAAAACGACTCTTGGTAGCGGCTTATTATGGTATTTGCGATATGAGCATAAGAAGTAAAATGAAGATTATAAGGATGAGAGAAGATACATGACTGACCCTTGACTTGAAGAGGTTAAGATTGTAGCACTCAAGGAAGCTACTCACAAGAGTTTGTTCCACAAAGTAGCAGTTATCATGAAAAAACAGTGAAACTGTTGTATAGTAGCTAGCACCCCTTCAGCACTCTACCAGATGGCCTGGTTCATAGCCTTAAATAGTCTAAAATTAAGGACTTCAACAATTGATTAATAAGTTGATACTAAGCTGATTAATATTCAGACTGATCTTAATTTATTTGGCTATACAGCATTTGACCCTCCTCTATTCCTTGTAAGTTGTTTTGTAACTTATTGTTCTATGTTTTTTGTATGTATTCATTAGCCCCAGATACTGATGCTGAATAAATATATTAAGCACTCATTCTTTGTGTATCATTCACCTCGACGTTACAACAGAAACAGTAACCCCTTGCATCTTAGTGGCTTTATTGCTTTGATTGGAGTGTAAGGATTTAAAAAATAAAACAAAAAATAAATGCAATCTGTCTGTGATTTATAATGCTAATTCTCTGATAGTATTTTTCTTGCTTCTTTTTTCTAGTCATTGTGCTCATATTTATATGTTTTGTTCTCAATTGGGAACTGAAGTGAGAAGTGATAACCAGTTAGCTTTTTTTTTGTTTCTTTTTTGCTGTATCTTCTTATTCACCACTTTACAGTGAGTAATTTTTTTTTGTTTCTCCTACAATATGCAAATAGTTAAATAATAATGTTACTTATTTTTTTCTATTTCTAGGGGAAGCCTTAAGTCAGAAAAAATACTGGGAGGCCTGCTATAACAGCAAGAAAATGAAGAAGGAATTTGACTGGCTGTTGGATTCTAACACAGTGTCAGATGACATCATCTCCCAGTTAAAAACATCACCAGGCCAAAAGATTTTGGATTTGGGTTGTGGTAATTCCAGTGTGGGTCTAAAGATAATTAAAAAATTCTGCTATGCTATTAATGTCCACTGTTTGGACTATGTCCCAAGTGTTATTGACCATCAAGTTAAACTGCACTTGGAAGTAACACAAGGCCATCCATCATCTTGTTTTGTAGGTGTTGTTGGTGAAGCGTGTGCTTTACCTTACTGTGATAACATGTTTGATATCCTCATTGACAAAGGTACAATGGATAGTCTGTTAAAAGACAATGTCAAGGAGAGACGACAAAGAAAGATGACTTTATTTCTAAGAGAATCCCTCAGGGTCTTGGCACCTGGAGGATGTTTCTTGCAGTTTACAGATGAGGATCCTGATATTCACCAGGATACATTGTTTTCTCTGCTCTGCCAGCTAGGTTTTCAGAAACATTATTCTCTAAGTTGCAGGTCAATAGAATCTCCCAACAATTATGACTGCTATGTTTATTCCATCAAGAAGCTACCAGTTTTAAATAGGTGAAATAAATGATTAACATTGACCAATATTTTTTTTTATTCTTTCATGCATTAGACTTATTTTAATTACTCGCTAAATATCTATCTTATAGACAGAGAAAAGTAAGTTGTAGCAGAAGTTTTCTTATTTCTATAAAATTTCTGTATAAACAAGATTTTCAACAAGGCATCCATATTCTAAAGTTTCTTTTGCCATTATGTAAAGTCCACTTGAATTTTCTACTTTGGACATTGCTACAGTTCTGGTGTGAACTACCCCTGAGCTGGGGTTGCCAAGCCTGGTTGGGGACCCCAGTGTTTGTGATCCTTGCTATCTTAACAATATTTGCTTTTTTCTACCTACATTTACATGTTACAAATTAAATTTAACACAACTAAAGGATGATTATTAAAGGATGAAAAATTTTTGCAGATTTTGACGTCATTCTTGGGGGGGGGTTCCAAATCCACAAATGTGTTTTGCTTATGTCTAGAAAAAAAAAAAACACTAAATAAAATTCACTATTTTTTTTTTTTATCCATAATGTTGAATGTGTTACAATTATTCAACTTTTTAACAAGAAAAATCTTGAGTTGATGCTAAAAATTGTTGATTTATTTATAATGGAATGACATATCTCTAATTTGTATTTAGATACATGTATTTATTGTACATAATTAGGTTACAATAAAATTTGAATTCGATCTGAATACTATCTTCTAAAAATTAAGATGTAGTAGAGTGGGTGGGCTCTGTAGCCCAGGCTGGCACTAGGGTCTCACCCCCACCAACATTGATACCTCTCAACTACATGTTGATTTCAAAATTTCTCAACCTGGGGCCACAAACCCTCAGAGAAAAGTTGTGTAGGGAAGGACAGAACTTTTTTAAATTATCAAAAATCTGGGAATTATCCAACTTAAATGAAAATTTCAGTATATATTCATTAATTATTTACTTTTATAATGAACAGGCTTTTTATTTTTCAAAAATCTGAAAAAATGTTATTCTTTTTGTGATAATCACCAATATGGTGAGATGGACAGACAGAAACAGGGTAGGAGCAAGACTGATGGGACAGCCTTGGGGATGGAGAGAGAAAATCTTTAGACTGCTTGACCACAAAGAGCATCATGTGAGCAAGAAATAGATGGATAAACAGAAAATGGACATATAGAATAGGAGAAAAGCAAAACAGATAAGCGGACAGAAAGGCTTTGAGAGAGATGAACAGGAAGACAGAGAAGCTGGAAATAGACAACTAAAAAGAATATAGAGAAAGATGTTGAGACAGAGAAGTGAAATGAGAAACAAACATAATATTGAAAAGAATTTCAAAGATAAAAATAGTATGACTTCAAATGTAACAACCAAGGAAAACTAGATTAGTTAAATACACTATCATGAAAAGCTGCAAAAGAAAAATTGTCAAAAAATGAAAATATTTCTCCTTAGAATCTAAAAACAATTTTATGATTCCTAATTTAAATGCCAAAGAAGAATAGACCAGCTAAAATACTGTGATGGAAAGCCATTTTAGTGATATGTGAATTAGGTACTGTATAAAAGGCAGTATCACCATACCTATAGGAGAGTTACCTTCTCTTGACGAGACTACATCTATCAGAATACCTATCATAACAATATGGCATCACCAATTGGTTACTTAGCCATGATGGAGGATCCTAAGTATGTGGAAACCTGGCTTAGGTGTTTCGCAGTGTCAGCGAGAGTTAAAAAGTTAAGATACCAAAGCTAGTGGAGGAGAAAATGTCATAGATTTGTTTTTGGCCTCAGCGGGGTATGAGACCATAAAAAATCTCTGTCATGGTCTATCCCATTGTGTTGGAAGATTGAGCATATAAAGAAATTGCTGTTATCATAAAAGCAAATGTACAACCAAAAGAAAAAAAAGATTGGTCATAGCTGAAAGAACTAAATTTCTCAAAAGTAGACAGAAGAGAGAAAAGGAGGGACCAGACAAAACTATTGCACAATACATACAGTCATTGAAAGAAGCGTCAAGATATTGTGAGTTTGAAAGAATGGGTTCAGAACAAATGTCTATCAAAGACAAGCTAATTGTGCTAAGATTAATTGAAGGAATGTTTGGCATCTCCTACAAGTGTAAAATTCTAGAGTGACTTCAAGCTCATAATATGAATCTGGAAGCATGTATGGAGTTCTTAAAACAATTGGAATTGATTCAAGAATTTAATGCCTCTGAAGGCAGCATGGAGGCTTACAGTGCTATTAAAAGCTTACTTATATGCAGATATTGCAAAAAGGAACATGAAAAGAACAAAAATAAATACCTTGCCTTTGGGAAATAGTGTTTAGGTGTAAAAAGAGGAATCATTTCAGGATGCTATGCACATATGAAAAACGAATGGAAAAAGTGGAAAACATAAATCCTATAATTGAAAGTATCGAAGTATTTGAGATTGTTGTATAAGAGTAAGTGTTGTTGCTGATACTGTGGTTTGAAAGTAGATCACCAGTGAGTAATACAGGTGATTACATTATTAAGTAGATCATGTGATCATAAAGGAAGTGAATAAATACGAAGTAGCATGATGATCATTGTTCATTCTTCTTGTCTGTCCACTATTGCTATATGTTCACTCTCTCTACTCTATTACTATACGGATCATGATTCTGTTCTGATCATTATACTATTTGGCAATTACTACTTGAACAAGTATTACTAGTGTGGATATTATTGGAAGGCGTTACTACTAGTACTGGTGTGTACGAAGTCTCGAATATAACAAGCATTTTTGAAAGTGATAACAAGCTTTCACTTGACCTAGCAAAAGTGGCAAGCAAAGCCATTCAACATCACAAAAAAGGATAAAAGTAGGGAAATGGTAAAGTTGAATGGAGAAACTTTACTCATGCAGGTGGATACTGGAAGTGATGTTTCATTGATACCTAGGAATTCTTGGGAAAGAATGGGTAGATCAAGGTTAAAGAAAAGTAATCTCCAGTTGAAACAGTTCGTCCAAATTTTAGGATACTTTGAAGTCACATTTAAGACAAAAAATAAATTTGAGATAATACTCATCATAGTGGTGGAAAACGTGAAAAGCCACGGTCTTTTAGGAATTGACATGTTAAGAGCAGATAGATCGAAGCTGGTAAATTCCATAAAATCAGTAGAACCAGAATTAAGGGGATATGAGGTGAGTATTTGGCTTAAAGAAAGCAGTCAACTGATGCACTTTCAAGCCTGAAAAGTTCCTGTTCACATGCTACCCTTGGTGGTTGCTAAGCTGAACAAAATGGCAGAACAAGGAATATTAAGAAAAAAGTCAGCAAAGTGGTAGCAATTGGGCTTCACCTGTTGTGATGATATGCAAGCCCAATGGAGATTTAGAATTTGTGGTGATTATAAGGTGGGTATGAATTATCAGAGCTGTTTAGATTCATTTCTGTTGCCAAACATTGAAACAGCATTCCATGGTTTTGCTGGTATGAAATACTTTGCTAAAGTTGACCTCCATTCAGCATATAATCAGATAAAAATTGATAGCAAGTTTCAAGAAGTCACCACAATAAACACCCCTATTGGATTATTAAGATGGGCTTAAGTGCTGTTTGGAGTAAAAACATCATGTCACATTTTCCAAAAAGCCGTTGAAAAAGGTTTGAGCGGTATAAAAATATAATTGTATATCAGGACAACATTGGCATTGGTGTGCGCAGTAAAGAAGAGCTCAAAATTAAAACAGAGCAAATTAAATAGTGTGGGTATGACAATCGCAATAAATGCGAGTTTAATTGTGAAAAAATTTTGTACCTAGGATATCAAATATCCAAAGATGGTATATTGCCAGATAATAAACCCATTAATAAGACAGCTGCAACCAGGTATAAAAAAGAGGCCTTTTTCGGATTAAACATTTTCTATAAAAGATATCTACCTTAATATAGAAACAATGTGGAGCCATTTAACAAAATAAGGAAGAAGAATACCAAGTTTCAATGGACAAAATGAGAGGAGATTGCTTTTGAGAAATTAAAAAAAGCACTCATAAACAAACCAGTTGTTAAAATCTTTGAGCCAAGGAATGAATTGACATTAGCTGCAATATTGTCACAGAAGGATCACCCTGTTATCTAGAAAACTAACATCAGCAGAAGTAAATTATTCGAATACTGTGACGGAGTCATTTGGCAATTGTGTGGAGCACAGAAAGAGCTAGGAATTTTTTGCTGGGGAGGAAATTTTTTATTAAAATCTGATCATAAGCTTTGGAATTTATATTCAACCCTAGAAGAGAGTTTCCAAAGGTCACATCTGCCAGGATATTAAGATGGGCAATTAAGTTTATGGTGTTCAACTTTGACATCATGTATATTAAAGTAAATACTATTCCACATGTGGATGCATTATCTCAGTTAAATTTTGAGAGTAAAAATGTTGAAGCAAGTGAAAATTGTGAAGACAGAGTTTTGCACTTGATAGAAATGGATGTATTACTCTGAAATCGGGTTAGGTTGGGAACTAGGCAGGATCCAGTGTTGAATAGAATTATGAATGGAATAAAGAGAAATACATGAAATAATTGCTCTATGGCTGAGAGACCTTATAAAGAGTCAAGACACAAATTAACAATAGAAAAAGGAATTATATGTAATGGAGCTATCATAGGACCTCCACAGTCTCTGAGAAAAGAAGTAATTAAAGTCATGCACGATGATATACATGGAGGTATGTTGGCTACATAAATGAGGTTAAAGTTGCAAGCATGGTGGCCAGGCTATTTGAGAGACATGGAAGAGTATCATGATGATTCAAATGAGGAGAATCAGATAAGACCTAGATCAGCTATAAAAAGAAATACAGAGACTCACTCTGAGAGATGGATTATGTTTCCCAGGGTTGTTTGTAGAAATCAAAGGTCAACTAAGGGTATAAAGCCTCTTAGGTTCAGGGCAGTATTGTCATACCTACAGGTGTGTTATCTTCTCTTGATGAGACTACATCTGTCAAAAATAATACCTATCACAACAGCCATAAAAAAATAAAGGATAATTGTTAAAATTACAAATTAAATATGCGTAAAAATGAAAATATTTATCCTTAGAATCTAAAAACAATTTTATGATTCCTAATTTAAAGGCCAAAGAAGAATAGATCGGCTAAAATACTATGATGAAAATCCACGAAAAAATAAAAGTGAATTGTCAGAATTACAAATTAAATATGTTTAAAAATGAAAATATTTTTCCTTAGAATGTAAAACAATTTTTATGCTTCCTAAATTAATACGTAAAGAAGAATAGATCGATCAAAAATACTCTAATGGAAAACTAAAAAAAAAGAAAAATAATCAAAATTAAAAATAAGTTATGTCTGAAAGTGAAAAATTCATAAGAGAAACTGAAACAAAATTAAATGTACGAATCCTAATTTAACAGCCAAAGAAGAATAGATCAACTAAAAATGTTACGATAAAAGTATTTTTGAAACAAAAAAGAAAACTCATTAGGATATAAAAAAAAAAATGAATGTAATTGTTAACATTCTTACCTTGCAAGAAGGTCATTTCAAGAGATTTGTTGACGAATTTTGTTTGATATAACTTTTCTTTTTCACTGATCCTTCCAGACTAAAACAATTTCCTCAACACTGAAATCTCAGCTCAGATAAAAAACCAAAAAATCATGCTCTATATTTTATTTCCTCCTTTCTTTCTATATCTCCTTTTTTTCTTTTTTTTTCTTTTTTCTTATAGATTAGCATGCGTCAGTCCAGATAATTTTATTACAAAGTTATGATGTTTTGTTTACAAAAGCAAAGGAAATAAAACTAAATCCTGACTGAATTCTTTTGAAGGTTTAGAAATTCTGTTTCATCCTTGGTTACCTCAGTAATTGGATGTTGAGATCTTTTTTTCTTTTTCAAGGATGAGTAAGATATTTTGTTAATTGTATAATGTGAAAATACAATGAGGAAACTAAATCTCTATTGAATAAACATTTGAGAATATCAACAGTACACCAGGGAGTAAGAAGTAATCTTTTGATTCTAGTCATTTCTCTTATTTGATTTATTCAGCCTCTTTTCTGAAATAGGATCAGCCATTTTGAATTTTGAACTTGGCTGAGAAATTTTTATCAAGCTCATCTTTCTTTCTTTTCTTTTTTTAGATGATTTTGTGTTTGTAATTTCTATGTTGTCTTGAATTTTTTTCCCAATATCTTTTATTAATGTATTTTTATTATTAGATTCAGAAATTATCATAAATCTCCTCACTTCTCATTATCATTATCACTGCTATCAATATTCTACCACCTCCTCTATTATTC